TAGGTGAGCAATGCATTCTGCAGCGAATGTTACTTGTGTGTCTGTGCCTAAAGCCCATCGGAGGCATTGGATATCTCAGGATTCAGCAGTTTTGATGGAGAGAAACCGAAAAATCCCGACCTGCCAGGATCAAAGTAGATTTAGGTGACATCTACAAAGTCGGCTTACGAAGAGTCTCAAGAAGGACTATGAGAACTGGTGGGCAACAATAGCTAATGAAATGGAAGTAGCAGCTGCATCAGGTAATAGTCAAAGACTTATGACTGATGCACAATACGGGACGTCGGCGAACTCCAGTTAGTAAAACAGTCTGCGATAAGAGGGGACAAGCTATTCACAATAGGGATCAATGACTTGATCGCTAGGGGGAATACTTCAGCGAACAGTTCAGCTGGTCTAGTGCTAACTAGGCTGCTTCAACTGCAACTGAAGCTACGTGGGCAGTGTCATGCGATCCTCCAACAGAAGCTGAAGCTCGGTTTTGTATTCATGCTCCGAAGCAAGGAAAAGCAGCAGGACCGGATGAGCTCCTTCCCACTCTTTTAAAGATGGGCCGTGATGACCTCGTAAGATGTATTACTACCTCACTTCGCAATATTTGGACACAAGAGCGTATTCCTTCATCTTGGGGCGAACCACTGATCGTTCCCGTTTTCAAGAAAGGATCTCACAATGATTGCGAAAACCACTGCGGGATAAACTTCATCCCAGTCGTCACCAAAGTGTTAGCTTCAGTTATAATTCTTGACTCCTTTAAGGTGGACCAACTTCCGTGAACAGCAAGCCGGATTCTGGTCTGGACGTGGATGTATTGATCAAATGTTTACGTTGCGTCGAGTCCTTGAGCTATGTCACACCCAACGTCGGCCCACGATTACAGTGATCCTCGACGTTGAAGGAGCCTTCGATTCAGTTCACCGCGAAGCTCTGATGGGTTTCCTTCTTCGAAAAGGAATGCTATTGAAGTACATCAACCTACTGAGGTCACTGTACTCACATACCTCCGGTCGTGTAACGGTCTACGACGAACTAAGTAGGCTGTTCGTCACCAGCAGCAGCGTTCGTTAAGGGTGCCCTATTTCGCCGTTCCTGTTCAATTTCGTCGTGGGTGAAATACTGGAGAAAGCACTGAGTGGACCCCAAAACGTAGGCATTGAATGGACAGCTGGAGGAAAGCTATGCGATTTGGAATACGACGATGACATCGTCTGTCTGTTCGAATGTACGGAAGACGCGCAAAACGCACTTGATAGACTAACAAGTGCAGTAGCTACATTCGGTATGTGCTTTGCACCTTCAAAGAGCAAAGTGATGCTGCGGGACTGGGTTTCGTCTACTCCCGTTATGAAACTAAATGGCCAGGAATTAGGTATGGTGTATTGCTTTTCGTACTTGCGTAGTTGCGTGACCAATGATGGTAGCGCAGCAGAAGAGATAGCCGCCTGCATTTGCAAGGCTCGAGCAGCATACACAGGACTGAACCACCTTTAGCGTAGACGTGGCGTTTCACTGAAGTTGAAAGGTGGTGTATATTGCACTAGCGTTCGTTAATTTCTGCTTTATCGTTGTGAGACCTTGAATTGGCAAGTAGAAGATAACCGTCGACTAGAAATTTCCGACTATGAGTGGTTACGTGGTTTAGCCCACGTGGAATGGTGCGAACGGGTCAGTAATCTGGAAGTAAGTCGTCGTTGAATTCAGATTAGTAGACTTCGTTGGCTAGGGCACATATTGCGTATACCCAGCTGTCGTCTACCGCACCGCGCTTTATTCGCTGTAGCTAATCCGGGATGGGGAAACCATGTGGAGGTCAACGGATGAGGTGGAGTCGAGAAATGAAGAAATGCACAGAGAGATTAGGGAGAGCAGGTGTCTCACACCTTCCAGTTTGGGGTACGAAAGACTCCACAACCGGTTGGTTGGAGACATTGAAGAATATGGCAGCGAACCAAAAGTAGTGGCGTTCTTGTTGTCATTTCTTATCAGGCCAGAATGCTTGAGACGGTATGTATGCAGAGCTCGATTTGTGCAGTCTGTGTGTTGATCATAGTGATTCACCTTCTACCTCCCTTTACGTAGGGTCAATCCCTGTCCAAGTTACATATTACCACTAACCTTTTGTGTGCACTGTGAGTTTGGTAGCGATCCGTGAAGTTCACCTCGCTGTATTTCGCTGTACGGTGATAATGATGAAGATGGTGATGACGATGATGGTGATGATGATGATGATGATGATGATGATGATGATGATGATGATGATGATAATGATGATGATGATGTTGAATCGGATGATGATGATGATGATGATGATTATGATGATGATTCTGATGATGACGATGATGATGATGACGATGATGTTCTTGATGTTGATGAATGGGATGCTGACTTTCGGATGATGATGATGATGATGATGATGATGATGATGATGATGATGATGATGATGATGAATCTGATGATGATGATGATGATGATGATGATGATGATGATGATGATGATGATGATGATGATCATGATGATGATGATGATGATGATGATGATGATGATGATGATGATGATGATGATGATGAGACATGATGATGATGATGATGATGATGATGATGATGATGATGATGATGATGATGATGATAATGTGATGATGATGATGATGATGATGATGATGATGATGATGATGATGATGATAATGAAGATGATTTGATGATGATGATGATGATGATGATGATGATGATGATGATGATGATAATGAATGATGATGATGATGATGATGATGATGATGATGATGATGATGATGATGATGATGATGAGGATGATGATGATGATGATGATGATGATGATGATGATGATGATGATGATGATGATGACGATAATGATGAGGTGGGATGGTAAGCGAACACCACAGCAATCAGCTTCCATTACATATAACTCGTGCTGGAACTAACAAACTAGCCGTTTAAGTAGCCGGATTCAGTTGACGTAAGAGCATTACATGACAACAATGGAATAATCCTATTTAATGCGTGATTTTGCGATACAATACACATAATTTCACTTTTAATTCGGTTCTACATGGCATCCAACTCCACCCTCTGACACAGGCATCCAAAATTGGTTGTGATTTATTACTACTCTTGAGCAACCAAAATGCAAGTAAAAAACCTGCCCAATGAAATTTACAGTATCTGCTACTTTATCGAATTGTCGCGCCCACTAGCGTGCATATATTTTACTTTCACCTCAAAGTCAGTGACATACACTAGTTAAAAACATACTGACGGTACAACCTCTCAATGATTCTGGATTTGGATGATATTATTTTCGACAGACACCGGGCTGTGAAGTGGTTAGATCTATGGGAATTTGTTGATATAACACCCAAAGCGAGTTCAATGAAACACGGTTGTGTCCACTGATGTAATCCGAATGTGTCTAAAGCTTTACCCGAAAAGTAGGGTATCAAAATTCATGATAACGACTGCAGTTAGCACCCACACACACACACACACGGTAAGGTTGAGCGGAGTCACTGATTATGCAGCATGTGAATCAGCTTCAAAACGTGAGTGATGTCCGTAAGCCTATGTGACTTGTTGGGGAAAGGAATCGATGTCTGAATAACAAAATAACAAGGTTCCGGTAAAACATCGCCGGTTAATAGGGCACCAAAAATATGTGCAGAAAACGCCCTTGAACTCACGGCAGAATGAGATAGAAGATAGGAGGATTGGATGGATAGGAGGTGACAGTTGTGTTCTGCTGATTGTAGTCAGATCAGTTTTGCAGTTAGACTGCTTATTGTGTTTGCCACATTTGAGCGTGATAATAGGATGGACAAATTATATAGTCCTCTTGTTTTTGTAAACAAGAGCTCACTCAGTGAATTGCAAGGTTCTCCGATTCTGTCATTTGTTGAAGTGCGTACAGAATAGATGGAAAATGTAAGTGTCAATTCGCCAGAAACCAACATAAGCTCTTCAATCAACCCTGCAGATAATCGTATTCCCCGATAGAGCAACGAGTCACCTATCAGGTAGGCGTTAATCGTGCCCTTGAATAGACAGATGACATTGTTTTTCGAACCGAAAGTTTTAGTCGGTTCCGACCTTTACCGAGCAAATTACTCCACGTGCAAGGATATGGATCTTCATTGACATGACCAGAAAAGTTGGGGATTTGCGGACAAATGCAGGTTTTGTTCGATGATCCGCGAGGATTCACTATGATCACTTTAAGATTATTGTACGTAAATTCCATCAACATGATGTAATTTGGATTTGAAAACACGTTGCTCCGTTGTGCCCCGTCAAGCGCTTAATCTCTACTGGCAGTTAACGACTGGTCACGATAATTCTCTGTGTAAATTCTTCGTCATGCAGTGTCCACGAAGACTAACGGCGACCTCAAACGATTCATTTAACCCTAGAAGGCCCAGTCTGCATCGGAGTTCATCAAGCTGTATGACGTAACAGGACGTTGATATTGTGATCTTAAAATGCATTTTAATTTCGTAGTTCCTTCTGAATCTTCTTAAAACCCTGTAGACATCGAACCATTGATTATGCCTCTGTGAATCTGCCAATAAATCCTCCACCCAGGAGTGACGAGGATGTTTGCTAGAACATCAATGAATGGGAAAAGTTAATGGTCTGCAATGAATTAAAAACAAAAGCTACTGTACGAAGCAACACTTGTGGAACGGACTCAGTTATTTTAAGGGCAATTGTAACGTGTTAGGTTTCGATGGTGAAATAAACAGGAAGGTAGAACGTGACAGTGTCTTATTATAATTTTTCAGGTGCATTGCGCAGTCAGTTCGCAATTTAGCCATCCTGCTTCAGCGTAGCTGTTATTGTGAATGAATGCCGACTGGATCGATCGATCGATCACTGATCCATAAACTAAACAATCGATGAATAAATTCGTTGCGTTGGTGCAAGCTGAACGGTCGCGCCATTCACGTGACTTCATCGGATGCATTAGTGGCACCATTGTCCCCAAAAGCGCTTATAAAGCATTTGGACCACGTAAATGCATGGCAGGATGCCTACATAGTTGGTTGTTCAAACTGAAAACTGAATATACCTAGTCGAACATAGCGAGTGAAAAGAACCGCCACTGGCCCATAGATGAGCCACTGGGCTCTATTGCAGAACTGATATTTCTTGAGTAATCCTCGCATCTGAAACACGATAATTCATGAAAAGGAATGCGACTGACCATAAAAATGTATTTACTGGTATCAATTTCTTTGTGTTCAGCCTAGTAACTGTGGCAAACATGTGATAGTGCTTCTTGACAATTTTTGAACGATAATGACTAAAACTATGAGAATGAGTAATCCAGATTCCAATAAAATTATGGGATTTCGCAACCATTATTGAATTTTTGAGCTGCATTTCTCCGTGCTATTTTGCAGGCAGTACCACTCTCACCAAGGCCGGACGAGGCCAGGGACTGTGAGACAAACAAAGATGCAGCTCAAATGCTTGTGGTGAGTTGCTGTTGTGGATTACACATTCACCAAAATGTTATTCTCCTTCTTTTTTCGTAAAAACAACAGTCCAGATCTTGATGATGGTAACGATGTGCCGTTGTCTAGCTAACCGTTATAGGAAATAATGATTATCGGATGCTTTGACCTTATATTCTGTAGGAGATAAGTGGAACCGTTAATTAATCTGCACAATCACCACAGTTGTTTGATAAAATATTATTTTCATTTCAGTCTACTCATGAGTAGTACAACTATGTAACCAGTAAGATTAAGCCAGATCACTGACAAATCAGGAATTCCCACGGTATTCTCTCCTGCAGTTTAGATTTCTGCAGCTTCAACAATTTTGTACCGAAAACCCGGATGATGCATAAGCAGATTTTTCGACATCAGAAACTGATCAATAAATACAGTAAGTCAATTGAACCTGTAGATTGCGCATGTAACCATGAATACGGGACACAAATGGGAGTTTGAGATATGGAATCACAAGAGTTCGCACAAGTTTAGCTAAGCCTGAAGTAAATAATCAAGTGTAATGCGGAAGCAAAATTGCGATTCCATGCATGACACGTGGTCCGTGTTGAGAGTTAAACTGTACTTCAAAAGATTTGTCGATCGATCCAAGTCGATGCTTACAATATTAGACATAAGAATGTGAAAGTAATTCCAAAATCTCGGGCGGTTAAGCGCAAAAGAGGGATTGGAATCATAACCGGAAGTGCAATCAAAACACAATCGTATTGTTAGTCGTCGACACAAATCTCCCGTCACTGAGACACATCGAGATGGTCACAGAGGTAACCATACCTTTGGTGGAAGATTGCAATACGATTAGCTAAGATATACAAAAGGATATCACTGACTGAACAGCGTTGCCCAATCGTAGTATAAGTTCTGCCGGGCACATAATTCCTGTTTAAACCAGATAGATTGGTCTAGAATACCGGCTGCTCACTGATCGAACTGAGGCTGTGTCAAGTTGCTCATTTACTTGCGAGGTCACAGCGCTTCAGGATCACGTCCAGCCACGAGCGCACGACGGCATGGGGGCACACTGATCACCACCCAAAAGATGAACAACGGAATGGATTCCTATAATGTTGACAAATCCATTTACTGGATGCATAGATTCACACTTGCCACACACACAGGAGTGAATGCTCTTATATTTCAATCACTCACTCGTATGTGCCTCAGTACAGTACGTCGTTCTTTGTAACATGATTACGATTCTCGAAACGTGATTCGGTGTGCGGAAAACGCAAGTCCACATGAACGCTAAAGAACAATAACCATAGAAATTCGTCGAGAACAAGGAACTTCACCTCCGGGCGCTTTGGTGTGTGCGCGAACAGTTTCCCACTGCTCGTCGGGGAACGATATGCGAAGCAGTGTCAGCAGACAAACCAATGGAGTTCACTGGTGAAATGGACGGAAGTAATGCGCCGTTGTAAACATTCCAAAAACAATGAGACATCAAAGGTTTCTAGCTCACTGTCATTAAGTATCTTGACTGTAAGAAACTGAACGAATTATTTCTGATCATTCAATCGTCTGTAAATGTTCCAAAACTGGACTACTTGAAAGGAACCCATTTCACGTCTGATCGCGTGTACTGCGTGTAGTCAAAGGCAGTGATCCTCGGTCACACCATCGGTCTGGAAGCCGCACGGATGTTCGCTGCGGCAAATGATCCACAGTGATTGGAAGTACAACTGAAGCTGCTTGGCTGCTGCTAAAATATGCACTAGAATCGTGTGTGGAATTTATGCCCGAACTTAAGAACATAAAAAATTAGGTAAACATATATAAGGACAGTTCTCGATGAATTTACTATGGATTTACTACGACTAATTGTTTCGTATCTTATTTCAAACGCGCGAGGTAACCATAATCTTTCAAGAAATATTTAGAAATTAAATGGGTTCCGACTGCTTGCCTACGTGATTTGGCCGTGTTTGGTGCTTGTATATCATCCTCCCCCCTTCAGAGGAGCGAACAGACTAGGGCGGTCCCAAAGATTTTTAATTTTGTTCAGGAATACAGTAGTTGATTTCCGGTACTTATCAAACATCTACGAAACCAGTGGCACACAGAATGTTCTTTGTCAGACCCATCATTTTTATTCTCCTCGATCTGAAAGCGATCTTCGACCTAGTCGATTGCTCTGTACTTGGGGCGCTGCCGCATCCGGAAGGTGCGCGTCAGAGAAGTTCTCGTTGGAGTTTACCACAAAAGGCGGTGTTTGTCAGGCTTGCGGTTCCTAGGACGGTAGTGGTTAGAAAAAGGTTAAAGGCGGTCAGACTAAGACCTTGCATGACGGTGTACAAAATCCTGACCAAGAGACTCAGCCATATAGATTACGTTAAGGGACCTGGGGATCAGCGTAACCGATAGTTAAAGATATTCATTGATATGACTGAGGGTCGTAAACATTGGACTTTTGCATCCACCCAGTATCCTTGCACCCCTAATCTTCCTAGATTGTCTGATTTTTCCCCTGGCAATGCTTTCAACATTCCAGTCTTCGCTTCATACCTCCATCCAACTGGGTAGGTAAAATAAAGTGACCAAACTGCGTAAGCAACAACTTACATGTTTAACGGTTGTTTAAACTGAACTGAACTGAACTGAGAGAGTGCTGCTCAATCTGAGAGACAGATCTCAGACGAGGATCAGATAATTAACCAGTTTATAGCTTTACCTGCAGTTATTCAATCCTTTAACATCAATAAGAGTGTTCCGAGTTTTTCAATCCAGTAAATGTACATCGATTATAAAACAACAGAGAACACTGTGGGTTTGGCAAGAAGACCATTCTGTATTATGTATGTAAATATACAGAAAACATGGACCGCGTAAGTGATCTTGGCTCGCCGCTCCAGAGTTCGTTGAGTCTGCACGTGATAATTCATTTCCCATTGCGACTTGATCATTCCATCGTGCTGGAACTAGATTCACATGTGTGGGTGGAATCACCGAGCACTGAGTAGGGGCGGAATACGCAAACATGTACACACATGAGAGCACAATACCTAGTTCATGACGTCAGTAAATTTCTACGGGTAGTAAGAGAAAGTGTTCGTTTCACGTGGTTATACATTAACGATGTTGGCCATCGGCGGTGTAACTCAGAGGTAAAGGTCCATACAGACTCTTATCCCGATGAATCTTGTGCTCCTAGTTGTTTGTGCAACACAAAATCTCATCGCATCTGACACATACGTGTGTATTAGAGTCTCAGGATGCGCAATTCTGCACCTTTGAATAAAAAAGGAGACGTTTATTTTGATAGTTGACAGAATTTCATGAACTCACGAGCATCGTCATCACAATCAACACAACAACAACAACAACAACAACAACAACAACAACAACAACAACAACAACAACAACAACAACGACAACGGGATCAATCAAGCCACGAATTCACGGCCCGTTTGTTTGAGCAGTTTGTGTTAGCTCACTCCACTCGTCCACACCCGCCCGCCCGCCCGCCCGCTCGCCCACCCACCCATCCACCCACCCACATACACACACACGTACGTACTCATGAACAGGGGCGTGTGTTTGAACAAGCAGTGTTTTACCGAATTCTGTTTTTAAATGGTCGATTGTAACGACCCGATAATCGCTTCAAAAAGAACTGTCCATAGGTCACACGTGTTGTTGAAACGTGGCCGTTGTCATGGTGAACGCTGTGAAGGCGAAAAAATAAAGACAAACTAATCAAAATAAAATGAAAAACTATGAGATTCTCTCAACAACTCATCGCATTCGGGAATGAGCAATCAGGGCGAAATTTGAATTGAATCGGAAGATCGGAGCACTCGATGACGAAAGTTAGCTCGCTGTTGTCATAACCTGAGCGTGGGGTCGGGAACTACCAAAACGGTTAAGCACACGAACATATAATGAGATATTTTTGATAAAACTTTGAGTTTTACTGAAAAATTTCATGATTTCGAAGGAACCGGAAAGACCGGAGAAAAGAAAGTTTATCCAGTGTGGTCTGGACTTTAGGGTTTGGTTTGGGAATATTATAACCCATTTTGCGGGACGGATCGTTGGACGAAGCACAGCGGAAGCAGGTCACTTGATAGATGCCGTTCAGATTAGCTCCAGACAACAATACCCTCAACCCGGTTTATAGTCCGACCAGTGCGAAGCTCCACTGATTGACAAACTTACGGGTGACTGACTGATGACATATTCTATCTGATTTGTTTCCGTACATATTGAAATCATTTTTTTTCACGGTAATCATCGCTATATATTGTTACTTTATTTCAGTTCCGATTCATTTTTTTATAACCAATAATCATCATGCATTTTCGTGCGCCGGTTTTGGTTAATGTGTCATGACTGCCCTGCTTGGATAAAAGGTTAATAGGAAGAACGGAATGTTGCGAGCAGAGTCAAAGAGAATATAGAGAATTTATGAAGGCTAAAGTTGCAGTCATATTGAATTTGAGTAACACTGTTTGCGACACGCAGCCCTATCGCTCAGTGTCTCTAACCGCCGATGGTGACGATCCTGGGCTTCCCATCCAGGAAGACTAACGCAGCCTATCTGAACAAGCTTCCTGGTCTGGATTTTCACACCCTCATACCAGTTCTGACCACCAATCACTTTTTCCCCCATCCCAAAACTGCCTCGGTGAACAGCACGCGTCACGGCAATCTATTAGGTGACATGCGTAGTACATTCCCCCAAACAATATGGTCCTTGTAGCTCAATCACTTACTCCAATGAACGACCACGATTGCCTAAACCTCTGCGTCCAAACTAAGCTTGTCCAGTTTCCTCACCAGAGTCATGCAACGCGAAGTAGATAGCCTATCTTTATCCAGCTTTCTTAATGGCCAAGTTTCTGCGCTGTATAGCAGAACTGGCTGGACTGCCGTGGCATACACTTGGCCTTTCGCAGACAGCCGAGTATCGCGGCGGAGTCAAAACTGTCTCCAGTTGGCAAATTCCGTTTGCGAGTAGACACTGCATCCGTGATGAGATGACGGGGTGAGATATAGTTGTTCAAATAGCAAAATTTGTTCGTCACCTTTATTACTAGTCCACTTAGAGGGTGGTTGGGAGCTGGACCGGCACGGTCCGGTAGCACTGTGAAGTTGCAAAATGCAGCTTACCTGGATGATCAGTTAGCCGTACAATATCATCTGCGTACTCCAGATCAGACAGCCTGCCACCTGGGAGTAAATCGTTGCCACTATCATCGCACGAGGACAGAGCTGTTTCCATAAGCAAATGTATAACGAAGTTGAATAGAAAAGAAGATAGAGAGAGCAACCCTGACGAACATCACTTTCTGTGGTGAACTCGGACGGAAAAGTGCCGTAAGCTCGGACTAGGGCTTTGGCTATTAGCATAGAGGGATTGTGACTGCAGGGAGGTCTCGCTTCCTCTTCGGAATTATAGCTTTCAGATTCATCTTACGGAGATCTTTTTTGCACTGGGTATCTTGGGATCAACACGTATCGAGCTCAGCCAATCGTTCAGAGACTGAATAATCTTTCTCTCATTCTTTCAACCCCTTTGATCCAATTCCGTAATCTGTGACTACCGCATCGGCAGAGCAATATCAGTGCCGGGCTTTGATGCCACGTCTATTCGTGTGCAAACTAATCTACTAAGTGACAGACCCCGAGAGAGAGAGAGAAAGAGAGAAACGCAAGAGAGAAATTAGTCCGAATGCGTATACCGGTTCACTTTATAAGTGGACAGACTCAATTCATTTCAATGCATTCAACCTGAAATGCCATGTGTCAGGTCTGGTTGGAAAAGCGCAAAGCTCTATTCATATTATCAGTGGATTCGTTTGTAGAATTAAGATCGTGTAATCGAGGTTGTAGATCTTTCATTTCAACTGCCCCGGGGGTTCTGAAAGTAGATTGCGATCCGGGTGTAATTGCGAATTGTCGAAAACGAACAAATCGGATTAGTTTGACTCAGCCTGACGTAGGTGACCAGTTTACTTCCGGTTACGTTCTGCAATCAAAATTGATCAACAAGTACACACACACATATGCTGGACGAACACAATATTGAGTGACTCACACAGTAATTACTGGATTTATGTACAAATGGTTTTGATACCGTGATTCGGCACGACCAATGATTCATTATTCAGGGAAACGTAATAGATTCAGGAAGGTGAATGTTGCATATCAACAGAGGACAAATGTGAACAGTGATCGCAATGAGAAAATGAACATGGATTCGTTTATCATAATGATAAAGATGATGACCTGGATGATTGTGATAATGAAGCGGATGATCAATGCTGCCTGCCAGTCTATCTATCTATCTATCTATCTATCTATCTATCTATCTATCTATCTATCTATCTATCTATCTATCTATCTATCTATCTATCTATC